TGATAATAATCAGAAATGTTTCTCGAGCAGCAAATCAGCATATTCGACTGATTTCTGAAGATCATGTGACACTGAAGACTGGAGTAATGATGCTGAAAATTCAGCTTTGATCACAGAAATATAATATATAAATATAATATAAATTAAAATATAAGTTATTTTAAATTGCAGTAATATTTCACAATATTACTGTTTTACTATATTTTTGATTAAATAAATTCTGCCTCAGACACTTTCAAAAACATTTTTTTAAATCTTACAGACCCAAACTTTTGAACGGTGGTATACTGCAAATATATATATATATTTTACAATACAATTTACTTCCAAAAGTTTGTCCAAACTATGTTAATGTCAAAAGTAATTCGCAATGGTGTCCACATGAGCCGTACATCAGCTCAGTCACCATTTCAGCCAAATTCTGGTGTGGTTCGCTTTTGTGTTTCTAAATCCAGAAAACGGATTTCACACCAACCGAACGAGACGTACGCTGGTGTCAAAACGCCTCAGTTCCGCTCCAACAGCTCTAAAGTGAAAGCGCCCTTAAAGAGATCAGTCCACATGGAAACAGATGTGTGGCTATGTCTGAGGGAGCACTTACTTGATGTAGTAGGGCACTTTATTCTGGGACACTGCTCTCTGCCAGGGCAACTGCACCGAAGCTGCGGACACATAATTAAAGATTGATTAGAGTGGAGATCAGGGGTCTGATCACGATGCTGTTGGTAAATGAAGCATTAATTAAAAACATCACTCTCATATCAGCGGATTAGCGCGCTTTTAATTTCTCCAGACACTGAAGTATCGTTCCTGAGGTTCACACTGGATATATGTATCACACAACTGCACTCTCAGCAGAATTCACTGTACGAAACACTGCTTTCACAGCGCATGCCATGGGATTCAGGATGTTACAACTTCAAAGAACTCAAAAGTTCTGAGTGATGGTCTTAAGTAAAGAGCTTTTCACGTGTCTCATGTCAGCATTACACAATACACTGAACTCTATGGATCGAAGCCTCAGACTGCAGAGTTACTTCTGGCACAAGCATGGATGGGAAAGGAAGGAAAGAAGGTAACACAAGGTTCAAAGGAGAAAAGAAAAAAAACCTTGACCTCATTTGCTGTCAACATTTCGTGAAGGAAAGGTATGGGGTGTGAGAGAATATTTTGTTTCATGCACTGTTATTGTTACATCTTGTTATTTCATTCAACGTAACTGGCACATTTTCATTGTCAATAAAGGAAACATTAAAACTGATATAATAAAACGAGTGTGTGTGTGTGTTAATGACTGCTCTTGACAGCCCACTGAAACAGAAAACAATGGACAATTAACCTCTGAATTATTAAACGAAAAAGCAGTGTTAAAGTGTATCTGTGTGTGCTGCGGTGTCTGATTTTCTACACTATCTGACAGTGGCTGCTTCATTTTTCAAGGCTGAGAGCTATTGTTTGTCTGCAAATTTAAACTTGTGCCAATTAAAATCTAATTATTTTTGTCCCCTCATTAAGAATGAACCGGCAAACCTCTGTGAATACAACACTGCTTCTATTAACACTCTACACAAGCTATTATATCTGTGAATATTGTATGAACGTTGAATAGTAAAACAAAAGTAGAGTAACAAACTGAAAAATGTTGACAAAAAAGAAAAAAGAAAGATGTAAGTAAGATGAAAGTCTCTTAGTAAAGCAACATCAGACATTTGTTCAACAAACTGCATGATTTGAAGTATCATGTCAATTATGTTGATGAGCTTTGCACTTTAATACCCTTGGTTCCAAGTTTGATCAAATCTCTAATCATATACAGCAGTAGTATATGTGTAAGCATATGTATAAGCATCTGAAAAGATGTGTAACCAGCAAAATGTGAAGTATGTTATGTTTTAGATATGGGTGTGCTTCCCACTTGACTTCTTAACTAGTTCAACCAGCAAGACTTCACTTGTCAACCAACTTCACTAGCTGCTGGTGAACTGTGTTGGTCCACCAACTAGACCAGCTCCAAACTAGCACTAACCATTGGAAATTGATGCTAGTCTAAGCTGGACTTTTCAGGAGGGGTAGTAAAAGTAATCGACTCGCTCTTTAGGCTGCGCTGGAGGCCAGTGAAATAAAGCTGACATGATAGTGTGAATTTATGCATGTGTTTTGTACTGTTTTAATGTGGGTTAGTGACTCACTGGATAAGAAGTGTTGAGAGGAGGGCCCAAAATCCCTGTGTGCTTCCCGTAAGAGCTTCGACCTGTCCTCTACAGCTGCCTGGAGAGAGACAGAGACAGCAAGAGACATAAAGTTAGGTTGGCTGCTAAATGGAATATGACAATATGAAAAATGCATCCACACAGTCACAGCAGCGCACAAATCTCAGCGCATGACAGACAGTGATGAACAGGCACACTCAGACTTCTGCACTGAGTGTGCTAAACAGATCCCGAGGAAAACAGATACAGTCTCATCAAAGCTCACACATAAACACACACGCACAAAACATTTGAGAAGCACATGCACTCTTACACACATAGACTGCACTAATGACATTTATTAGAATCATTCCTTAGGAAAAAGAACACAAAAGAGAAGGAAACGAAAAGAAAGAAAACAAATAAACAAAAGAAATAGGTAATAAAGAGAAAGGAAAGGAAAGGAAAGGAAAAAGGAAATGGAAATAGATAGAAAAGGAATTACCAAAATGAACAGAACAGGAAAGGAAAAGAAAAAGAAAAAGAAAGGAAATTAAAGGAAAAAGAATAGGAAATGGAAAAGGAATGGAAATACAACATGAAAGGAAAGGAAAAATAAATAGATAGAAAAAGGAATGAACAAGAAAAATTAACCAAAATGAACAAGAAAAGAAAGCAGGCGGAAAGGAAAGAGAAAGGAAAAATGACAGAAAATGGAAAAGGAAAAGAAAAAGGAAATTGAAAAGGAAATGCAAATAGATAGAAAAGGAAATACCAAAATAAACAATAAAAGAAAGGAGGTGGAAAGGAAAGGAAATGGAAATGGAAAAACAATAGGAGAGGACAGGACAGGGCAGGAAAGGAAAGAAAATGAAAAAGGAAAGAAAGGAATGGAAAAAGGAAAGGAAAGGAAAGGAAATGAAAGGAAAGGGAAGGGAAGGGAGGAAGTGAAGTGAAGTGAAGGGAAGGAAAAAGGAAAGGAATGGAATGGAAAAGGGAAATGAAAGGAAAGGAAAGGAAAAAGGAAAGGAAAGGAATGGAAAAGGGAAAGGAAAGGAAAGGAAAGGAAAGGAAAGGAAAAATGAAAGGAAAGGAAAGGAAAGGGAAGGAAAAAGGAAAGGAAATGAAAGGAAAGGAAAAATGAAAGGAAAGGAAAGGAAAGGGAAGGAAAAAGGAAAGGAATGGAAAAAGGAAAGGGAAGGAAAAAGGAAAGGAATGGAAAAAGGAAAGGAAATGGGAAATGAAAAAGGAAGGAAATGAAAAAGAAAAGGAATATGCAGAGTACCTGCATGAAAGGAACAGGAAGAGGAAGGTGGAGGACAGCAAAAGGGAACAGAAAAACAACAGGGAAAAGGGAAAAAAGTAATAGGGAATAAAGGGAAAGGGAAAGGCAAATAACAGGAAAGGACCTGCAGTAGTTTCCAGCGCATGTTGAGGTTGTCTAACTGGCGGTTGGTGGTGGAGGACAGCTGGACGTCCAGTGGGGTCAGCTGACCTGCCAGATCATTCACAGCCCGGACATCCTGTTTCAGAGGCGCAATCTCATCACGGAATGCCTGAAACACACACACACAGAGAAATAAATCACATTACCGCCTTTATCTCTGCATATCGCCCAAACACAAACTTAAATAAATCATCAGCCGGAGCGCTTGGCAATGACTCATACAGTACCATGTGTGAGAGGTGTAACAGCGTCATCGTGGGATAAAACTATAAAAATAGCTTCAGGCAGGAAAATGATTAACTAGAATAATCCTTAAAGGAATAGTTCACACAAAAATGGAAATTCTGTCACTATTTACCCTCCCTTGTGTTCTTCAAAACCCAAAGGATTATGTTTCTACTGTGGAATGAGTTAAGGAGGAGATGTTAGACTGGATGTTCACATAGCTCTTGTCCATACACTGGAAATAAAAAAATTACCAGAGTCTGTCATACTCCAAACACGACACAATTTTATTATCTTTTAGGGTGCTTGACAACCACTATTTCCTGGTATTGAAAAGCATCCTAATGAACATCTTATTTTATGCTCCACAGAAGAAAGTAAGTCATACAGGTTTAGAATTAAATGGAGGTGAGTAAATTAAATTACATTAAATTCACGTTTATTTGTATAGTGCTTTTCAAAATACAAATCGAAATTTAAAGTTTCTACATTATATTTAGGAGTAGCTCCTAAATATGATAAATGATGACAGAATTATAATTTTTAGATGTAATAATGGCAACATTCGTGAATAAGACCAGTTTTAGGCTCACCGTTGTTTTCTCGATGTGATTCTGTAGGGAATCTATGAGAAGGTCTCCCACGGGTTGCCATCCAGCTTTGAGCTCCTCGGCCTGGGCTAGACGCAGGTCCAGTTGGTCCATGGAGCTCTGGAGATCCTGGAGTTTATCTAGTGCTCTGTCCACCTGCTCCTGCCAGGTGCCCGCGTGTCCCATGAGCCTCTCCCAGCGCTCGCCCACCTCTGCAGTCTGCTTACGGATCGCTTTAGCCACCCGCTGGGCCTTCTCCTCTGGGCTCAGCTCTACGAAAAACCACAGACGCAAACTCCATTTAAGTCACGTCTTCACGTCAGTTGACCTCAATTAAGTTCATTTTGGAAGCTTTTGTAATAAAAGGTAAATTCAGCAGGCAACAAGGCATTCTATTATTGGGATGGTTTCTAGTTCTGTGATGTCATGTCTGAGCACAAAAACACACAAACTACGGGCTTTATCACACCTGGCTCACTTTCCCTGGATTTCTTTCAGAACCTGCCATGTTTTCTCCTTTAGTTTGGTTAGTTTAGGCATAAAACCATTTAAAAAGATGGCAATTGCATTTGGATCCACACCAAAAATTTCAGACAGTCTAAAATTGTCCGAACAATCTGGTCTCAGCCTGATTGAGTAAAAGTACAGATATCTTACAGCGAAAACGACCATTACAAGTTACATTACATTCCATTCCATTACAAATTACAAACCACCATTTAAACAGTAAGTGTTTTACTCATACTGCATGTAGGCTCAAAGATGCACTAGTCCTCAACCCCTAAGATAATTTTCAGTGAAAAACAAGAGACAGCTGATTTGTCAGAATCAGAAAGAGCTTTATTGCCAAGTGTGCTTAACACACACAAGGAATTTTTCTTGGTGACAGAAGCTTCCAGTACACAGACAGGTTGACAAGTGACAAGACACAGATAACAAAAATAAAAATAAGTGAGTAAAAATAAATATGTAAAAACAATACACAATAGACAAGAGACAATAAACAGTATATTGTATGTACAGATGTGCTATAGACAAATTATGCAAGGGAATGTGGGTAGATGTAAGATATATAAGTCACTAGCATACGTATAATAAATATAAGTATAGATAGTTGGGTATTGCACATTTTTTATTGCACAGTGGCGAGAACATTTAACTGTTCATGAGGTAGATGGCCTGAGGGAAGACACTTTTCCTATGTCTGGCTGTTTTGGTGCTCAGTGCTCTGTAGCGCCGGCCAGACGGCAACAGTTCAAAGAGGGAAAGTGCTGGGTGTGAGGGGTCCAGAATGATTTTACCAGCTCTTTTACTCACTCTGGATGAGTGCAGTTCTTGGAAAGTGGGGAGGGTTGTGCCAGTGATTTGCTGCAATCTTCTAAGGTCTGATTTGGCAGCTGAGCTGAACCAGACAGTTATAGAAGTGCAGAGGACGGATTCAATGATGGCCGAGTAGAACTGTGTGCGCAGCTCCTGTGGCAGGTTGAACTTCCTCATCTGGTGAAGGAAGTACCACTTCTGCTCGGCCTTTTTCACAATGGAGTCAATGTGATTGTCCCACTTCAGGTCCTGAGAGATGGTGGTGTCCAGGAACCTGAATGACTCCACTGCAGCCACAGTGCTGTTCATGATGGAGAGTGGGGGGGAGAGCAGGAGGGTTGCTCCTGAAGTACACTATCATCTCCACTGTTTTGAGCGTGTTCAGCTCCAGGTTGTT